AAGACAAACTCAAAGTAGCACAGCAAAGGCTTAAAGAGCTGAACTGAACCACCAACCGCAGAGTAAGACAGGTCTTACAGTGAGTTTAACTGACTGGTGAAATGCCTGCTAAATGGGAAACAACAACATTCTTCAGAAAGGATATGACAGAACCTAGACTCTACATGATAAAACATTCACAATGTCCAGGATATAGTCCAAAAATACTTGGCATGAAAAGACTTGGGAAAATTGACTCATTCTCAGAGGTAAAGATAATAAACAGATCCCAGTCCAGAAATTACTCAGGTGTTGAGATTATTAGAAAAGGACTTAAATTAAAGCAACTCTCATAACTATGCCCAATCAAGTAAAGGAAAATATGCTAGAGATTAATAAAAAGAAAAAGAAAATTGAACAGATCCCATTCTAGAAATGACTCAGATGTTGAGATTATTAGAAAAGGACATTAAAGCAACCATTATAACTATGCTCAATGAAGTAAAGGAAAATATGCTAGAGATTAATAAAAAGAAAATCTTGGCAGAGAAATTAAAAAAATAAAAATAGAAATTTTATACCTGAAAATATATTTTCAAAAAAAATTGATTAGGAAAATGGAGATATCAGAGAAAAGAGTAACTGAGTTTAAAGATAAATGCACAGAAATTATCCATTATAAGAAAAGAGAAAAAAGAAAGCCTGAGATACCTGTAAGGATAATACCAAAAAGCACTAACATTCAGATAATTAGTATCCCAAGGAAAAAGGAGAATGATTGCTCCACTGCACTCTAGCATCCTGAGTGACAAAGAGAGAATCTGTCTCAAAAAATAAAAAATAATTATGTTTGAGAACTTCCTAAATTTGAAGAAAGACAAATTTATAAATTCAAGAAGCTCAGTGAAACTCAACCAGAATAAATGTAAAGCAAATCATATGTAAAGTGATAAAAAACAAATTCAAAGATAAAATTCAAAAGCAGACAGAAAGAAACAACACGTTATTGACAGGAAAACAATAATTCAAAGACCATGGACTTCTCATCAGACATCCCTAAGAACAGAAGACAGGGAAACAGGATTTGTAACATGCTAAAAGATTTTTTTTAACTGTCAACCCAGAGCAGGTGCAGTGGCTCATGCCTGTAATCCCAGCACTTTGGGAGGCCCAGGCAGGCAGATCTTCTGAGGTCAGGAGTTTGAGACAAGCCTGGCCAACATGGTGAAACTCCGTCTCTACTAAAAATACAAATATTAGCTGGGCACAGTGCTGGGCACCTGTAATCCCAGTTGCTTGGGAGGCTGAAGCAAGAACACTTCTTGAACCCAGGAGGCAAAGGCTGCAGTGAGCCAAGATTGTGCCACTGTACTCCAGCCTGGGCAACACAGCAAGACTCTGTATCAATAAATAAATAAATAAATTGATTAATTTAAACTGTCAACCAAGTATTCTATATCTAGCATGCATATTCTTTTTTAAAAGGTAAACAAAATAGACATATTCAGATAAAAAAAAAATCTAAGAGAATTACTCACCAGCCAATAGAAATTACAAGAAATGCTAAAGAATGGTCTTCAGGGAGAAGAGAAATGATACCAGAAGGAAATTTAAATCTTTAAAAATGAATGAAGATGAGAAATGTGTCAAATGTCTGAATAAGTACATGAAGCTATTTTTTTTCTCTTAAGTTTAAAAATAATGTATAAAAAGTATAATATTGTGTTGTGGAATGTTTATGTAAGTAGGTGCAGTACATATGACAAGAACCAAAAAGACTGGGATAGGCGTGGGCAAAAGAACTATATGGTTGTACAGTTTCTGCATTTTATGTGAACTAGTTCAATATTAACTCTAAGTAGACTTTGAAATGTTAAGGATGTGTATTGTAATTACTAGAGAAACCATTTTTAAAGTAATGCAAAGAAGTGCAACTAAAAAGCCAACAGGTAAGTAAATTGAAAACAAAAGATATTATTAAATCATAGAATATATTTTAGACTGAATAATAATGAAAACACAACATATCAGAATGTGTGGGGTGTAGCTGAAGCAGTGTTTAGAAGGAAACTTATACCCTATATGATGAAATCAAAAAGAAGAAAGGTCTAAAATCAATAACCTAAAGTTCCACATTAAGAATCTAGGAAAAGAAGAATAACGTATACTCAAAGTAATGGAATGAAATAATAAATATAAGGATATAAATCAATCACATGGAAAACAGAAAAAGAATTGAGAAAATTAAGTCAAGAGTTGGTTCTTCTAAAATTTCAACAGAATTTAAAAACCCATCTGACTAGACTGTTTAAGAGAACAAAAATCACCAATATCAGGAATGAAAGAGAGGATTTCACTACAGAACCTAAAGATATTAAAGGACAATTTTAAAAATGTGATAAACAACACTACACCAACAACATCTAACAATTTAGACAAAATGGGCAATTCTGAAAATTACAACTTAACAAAATTAATACAAGAAACAGGAAATCTGAATAGCTCTATATTTTTAAAAAATTTTATCTGTTATCAAAAAATCTTACCACAAGGACAATTCCAGCCCTGGATGGTTCTCTCAAATATTCAAGAAAGAAATAACACCCATCTTACATACATTTATTTCAGCAAATAGAGGAGGAAGGAAAATTTATTTTATGATACCTGCATAACCATAATACTAAACCTGACAAAGGCTTTTTTGAAAGAAAGAACATTACATACTAATATTCCTTAGGAGCATATAGGCAAAAATCATTAACAAAATATTAGCAAATCAAATCCAAAAATATATTTTTGAAAAGGATAATACATTTTGACCAAATAGATTTATCCAAGGGTTGAAAAATTGATTTAAGTATCTTGATTTATTATATTTATTTGAAAATCAATATAATTCACTATATTAACAGAGTACATGAAAACAATATGATTATTTTGGTAGTGAAAAAATATTTGAAATAATTCAACAACCATTCAGGATAAAAATAAATTAGTAGCTTTAGGCAAACTATGAATCACAGGGAATGTCCTCAATCTAATTAAGAAAATCTACAAAAACTTTACAGCTAACATTATATTTATGCTTTCCTCCTAAAGTTGGAAACAAGGAAAAAATATCTCACTCTTTTCATGCATATCCAACATCATACTGAAGGTCTTAGCCATTGCAATATGGCAAGATAAAGAAATAAAAGTAATAAAGATTGAAAAGGAAAAGGTTAAAGTGCCCCTATTTGCAGATGACATAATTTTTAGGGTAAAAATCCTGAGGAATCTACAAAAATCTATATGTCCTAATGAGTGAAAATATAAAGGTTGCACAATACACAGTTAGCAACATACAAAATCAGTTCCATGTTTATATAGTAGCAGCAAACAACTGGAAAATATTTTTTAAATTCCACTTACACTAGTGCCTCCACAAAACATAACATTTAGGAATTAATGTAACAAAAAATGTCCAAAATCTCTACACTGAAAATTACAAAACATTATTTACAGAAATTAAAGATCTACATAAATGAAGACATACCAGGTCCATAGATTGGAAGACTCAATATTCTTAAAATCACAATTCTTCCAAATAGATCTATAAAGTCAATGCAATCCCAATAAAAAATACAGCAGGTTTTTAAATAGAAATTACTAGCTGAATCTAAAATGTATACATAAATTCAAATGACTTAAAATCACCAATGTGATTTTTAAAAAGAAGAGGCTGGAGGACTTGCACTATCCAATTTCAAAACCTACTACAGTAAGCTACAGTAATTAAGGAAAAGGTCATGGCAAATCATTATGCCAAGTAAGGAAGCCAGACACAAATGGGCATATACTGTATGCTTTCTTGCATATAAAATTCTAGAAAATACAACCTATTCTATAGTGTCACACAGCAGATATGTGACTGGTTGCAGGGTGTGGGCTAAAAGCAGGGATGAAGAGCAAAGAGGGCAGAAGAATAAAAAGGTTCAGTTATATTGATTGCAGGAAATGTTTCAAAGGTGTATGCATCTGTCAAAACTCATCAAATTGTATGCCTGTACCTTGTATATTGTACAATTGTTCATTTGTGCAGTTTACTGAATATAAATTATGCCTCTATAAAGTTGTAGATACGAAAAAAGCAATTTGTTCAACTTTGAGATTTGCATGTTAAAAACAAAAAAACAAAACAAAACAAAAAAAATATTGATCTCCTTTAAATTTCTGCAACAGTAGTTTGCAACAGTTCCATTGTGGATCTGTGGGCTTCAATGCCAACAATCCTGGCATTAAGCCCACAGTGTCTCACCGTCCATCAAGGAGTTAGAGCCAAGCTCAGGCAACTGCTCTCTATTCTGAAACTGCACACATTGACCCTAGTGAGAGCAGTCACCTAATGGTGGCTAAGGTTTACTCAAAACAAGCTGCCCTGTAAAGGAACAGCAGAGGTCAGGTAGATGGAAATTAAAGTACCTCCACTGTGACCTTTCACCTCCCGAAGTCTCTTTGAATCCCCCTCTTTCTCCTTCCTAGCCTCTTTTTCTCCTGTCCCCACAGCCCGGTCTGGCGTCGTACACCTACCTCTCCCTTCCACCAGGTTCTCAATCCTCCCAGCTCCTCTTCAACCCGTGGTCATTCTCCCACGAAAGGCAGCCCAAACTCCAGCCCCAGTGCCCCAGCCCCTTCTACCCTGATTTCTGCCGGGGTGAACCTGCCACAACGAAATAGCCACGCGGAACAGAGTGGACAACCACTCCGCCCAAACAACGCACCTCTCCTTCGCAAAGCGCCCACACGAAGTCACCGCGCCCCAGGCCGCGTCCTCCTCTCACCCGGCCTCGATGGCGCCTCCGCTCCCATTCAGGTGGCGGTGAGATTGGCCCCGCCGCTCGGCCTGTGTGCAACAGGCCCTTCCGGTGCCGAGGGGCCGGGTGGGCTCGACTGGCTGGGTGGGCTCGACTGGCTCCACGGAAGAAAGGACGCGTTCCGTCGCCCAGCAACTAGCCGCGCGCCCTCCCCGGCCCCGCCTCTCCCGCGCCTCAGCCCTGTAGGAGCCTCCAGCACCGTGGCGCCTGCCTCAAGTGCACCCGCCTTGCGGGACCCGCTCCAGGGCAACCTCGGACTTGGACCCCAAACCCAGGCCTCACTTCTCCGGGCGCTAAAAGACACTGCTCCGGAAGAGCCTCCTGGACTGAAGCCGCCTGGATTGGCAGCTTTTACGGAACTTAACCAACTGCTTACTTAACACTCTTGCTCTTTCTACGTTTAAAAGAATAATACTGGACCCCGAGACTTAAACCTTCAGCTTTGGGGAGCAACACAGATGAATGTCTCACAAACATAATGTTGAGCGAAGAAGCCGGACACCGAGGGGTACATACTGTATGATTTCAGCACACAAAGTTCAAAAACTGTGGTGCTTATGAACGTAGGCTCAGCTGGTATATTACAAATAAACAGAAGAAAGTAATAACCATAGAAGTCCAGAGAGTAGCCATCTTGGGAGTGGGACGGTGATGGTAAGTGGGCAGGCAGTACCAGGGCAGTCGGGATGCTAGCAACATTCTACTTTTAACCTTGGTGATGGCTTCTCAGATTTTCTCTTTGTGATAAACCATTGTTTTCTATTGTGTTCATTTTCTTGTGTAATATCTCACCATTTTTTAACAGCTCAAAAAGAAAAAGAAAAACCAATTAGATAATACAGTGTAGATGAATGTGCTTTGCTCAGTACACTTAGCAGAACCGCACATGTTTATTTCCTGTTCCTCTGTACCAACCCTTCTCTCCAAATTCAGGCAACTAAAAAATGATGTGGGAGAATGGCAGATAAAATGTACTGGAGTTTGTTGTCATGAAGAGTCAAAATAAGAAATAAACGTTCTAGAGATCCTCCGTAAGATCTGTCCTGGAAGAGGGCAACGTGTTTCCCGGAAGTCCAAGATGAAAGTCTTGTGCTGCACAGTTCCCTAGAGAGGGGCCTCTGAACAGCCTTGCTTTGGAGACTGATGCATCCTCAGGCCTCCAGAAGGAAGCTCCTGCTCTAGAGACAGACAAAGCCAGGGTGGGACACACAGCTTTACCATGTGGACCAGTTGCTTTTCCTCTCTGCGTTTCTGCATGTTCGTCTATAAAATGGAGATCATAATCCAACCTCTAAGGTCTGTTATTTCACTCCCTAACACAATATGTTCAAAAATGGTTGCTGAATGCTGTCAAGATGAGAAGCATTCTACAGAAGAAGATCTGCCAACCCTGCGATGTTACTGCATTTACATCACATCTCACTGCCCTGTGAGCACTCTGCATGGGCAGCCCCTTCAGGCCAGGAGTAAATTACTTTTCCCTCCTAATCAAAATAATAAGCAAGCAGCCAAAGTGCTTGTGAAGTGACTAATTGTTCATGGTACTATCGCGAAAGATGCACAAAAATAATATACATGCCATGTTCCTAAATTGAAAAAATATTCAAATTAATATAACCTTGAAATATGTCTACCATATAGTCAGGAAACAATTTAAATGACAAATAAATATTGTTCATTAACACTTTATGTAATCAAAAAACAGTAACTAAGGACACAGGTATCCATGTCATAGGATAATACAATCCATGAGCTAGGTAGTATTATCTTCATTGTACAGATAAGAGATTATACAAAGAGATTAAGGAATTCACCTGAGGTCCCCTAGCTAGTAATCCTGTGCTAGGAATCTTTGTTCTAGGTCTAGTTGATTGATTGATTGATTGATTGATTGAGACAGGGTCTCACTCTGTCACCCAGGCTGGTGGGCAGTGGGGCAAACACGGCTCACTGCCGCCTTCCCTGGCTCAAGCAATCCTCCTGCCTCAGTCTCCCAAGTAGCTGGAACTACAGGAGTGTACCAGGATGCCCAGCTAATTTTATATATATTAGAGACAGGGGTCTCTACGCTGCCCAGAGCTGAGCTTTTGGGCTCAAGGAATCCTCTCACCTCTGCCTCCCAAAGTGCCTGGTGTTACAGGCAGGAGCCACTGTGCCTGGCAGATCTAGTTTCATTTTAAAAAGGTGAGAGTGGGAGACAGAAGAAGTGGGAGGAGGAGGAGTTAGTTATTGAGTTAAAGGTATTTCAAACTTGTTGATGTTGTAATGACTTCATATGGAAATGTTAACACTTCTAGTACCATCTTAAAGAGAGGGCAATTAGACTCAAAGGAGCAGCATAAAATCATTCAATAGTCATTGAAACACTATGATTTCCTCTAACTTTTGCCACTTTCCAACCACCACCTACCAGTCCCCTTGCCACCCAGCTTTGAAACCCCCTGTAGTTCACTACAGCATGAATGAAAGTATGGCCAGTGTGACTTTCCAGCTCCCACACCTTTGATGTATCACCACAGAACAAAGTCCAAACACAGTTCTCCAAAGAGAATTTGAGTCTCCTCACAATTAGGGCCCACCTAAAGGTTTATATACTTGGGAAATAAATACTAAAATCATGTCTTTACTTCATATTGTGCACAAAATAAGTTCCAACTGGATGAAAGATTTTGATTTTGTGCAGATAAGGCTTGTAAGCACTGGTGGCCCACACCTGTAATTCTAGCACTTTGGAAGGCCAAGGCCAGTAAAATCACTTGAGACCAGGAGTTCAAGACCAGCCTGTGCAACATGGTGAAACCCTGTCTCACCTGGCAAAAAAATTAGCCAGGTATGGTGGCATGAACCTATAGTCTCATTTACTTGGGAGGCTGGGGTAGGAGGATTGCTTAGGCCCAGGAAGTCCAGGCTGCAGTGAGCCAGGATCTTATCACTGGACTCCACTCTCGGTGCCACAGCAAGATCCTGTCTCAAACAACAACAACAACAACAAAAACTTGTAAGCACTAAACCATAAAAGGCAGAAACTATAAATAAAAATACCGATTTTTGAAACACCTGCATTATGCATTAAAAAATAAAATTAAAATGCAAATAAAAACCTGGTAAAAATGTTACTACACTTATAGCAGACATGGGACCAGTATTCTGTGGATGCGAAGTAGCCACTCCAAATTTTCAATTGGCTAATGAAGGCGTGAATGACAGTTCCCAAAAGAAGAAATATTATGGCCAATAGAACTATAAGAATATTCAACTCAACTAATCTCATAAATACAAATTAAAACAATGTTTTGCAGTTTTCATCAATCAAATTACAAAGTTAGTAATAGAGTGTGTGCATGGGAATGAGGAAACAGCATTACTCACAGATTTCTGAGGGCATCCTGCTAGATGTCATATAGCAAAATGTCTCAAAAGGCTTAAATATACCATTCTGAGCAACATAACAAGACTCCACCTCTACAAGAAAATTTTAATAATTAGCTGGGCATGGTGGCACACACCTGTAGTCCTAGCTACTTTGGGGCTGAGGTGGAAGGATTGTTGGAGCCCAGGAGTCCAAGGCTGCAGTGAGCTATGACTGCACCAATGCACTCCAGCCTGGGAAACAGAGCAGGACCCCGTCTCAAAAAAAGAAAAAGAAAAAAAAAGACTAAATACTTGCATCTATTTTAACCCAGAAATTCCACTTTTATGAACTTTTCCTACATAGAAGTATGCAAAATTTTCAAATAATAATATTGGAACATTGTTTTAATCTTTGGAAGGCAGAATCTTGTCTTCAGTTTAGTGTCTTTAGTATCTAGCACAATGTTGACACATAGAATTCTCATTGATGGTCACACCTAAATAATGTCACTGGTTTAGCACTAGTCAAGACTGAGTTGTTGCCAGACACAGACCTGTAAAGGACTGAGCTCTAGACTTAATATTCTAGAGATGAGGAGCCAAAGATGCTGAGGCCTTGGGGAACACACAAGGACATTTCCCATGAGCCCCTCGGTCACTGGACCTAGTTTAGCATCTGCTTCTATTAACACAACTCATCACTAGCAAAAGTCTCAGTCCTTGATTTATAGCAAAGCTCAGTTCACTGAAGGCCAAAAAAACTTGATACTATCAATATTTTATTTTAGCATCAGTTACTTTAACGATTATGTCAAATGCAAATCAGCAAATTAAAATGGCAAATATAATGCAAATAAACTCAGAGTGTGCTTTCCTGCTAGACCCATAGGCAGGCTTTCCTGTAGAAACCAGCCACCACAGAAATCCTGGAGCCTTCATGGCGGTACTCCAAGATGGTGACATGGAAGGAGTAGAGCCTTTTGATGAGTTACAGGATGAGGATGAACTGGAAAGAACTGAAGACACCATACCTCACTTCTACGAATCCTTATTCCTCTCCTCATCAGTCAAGGCCCCAAGGAAAACAGATGGTACACTCGAAAGGGTTTTCCTGGGGGAAAAAATTTGAAGGTGGGATTAAAGGGAATTAACAAGAGAAAATGAGTCACTCAAGGTCTAGCAATATTAGGAAGGTATTAATACTTTTGATCTGAAGGGGCAAGGGGGGAAAAGGAGGTGTTAACAGAGCCTGGTGAGAGCTGAAGCTGTGGAAGATGAGCTGCTGATGGGACTGTAGAGACAGAGACGGGAAGTAAAGGTCAAAACCACAGTGAGGCAGGGAGAAAGCAGGAGGCCTAAGTACTCCTACCACTCTGCCCTCCTGCCCTTCAGTCCTGCACCGTTGTCCTCCATTGGTCAAACCCATTTGTAAGTCCAAAGGCAAGGAAGACTAAGTAGTGTGGTCCATAGAGAACTAGGCAAAACGGGGAGCTGGAGAGTATAACAGAGAATAACCAGCAGAGTCCCCTACCAAAAGTTGCCTGTACTGCCACTGATCCACAGAAATAAACATATTGAGACAGCTTCCATTGCCTTAGGGCCTTCTCTGGCATTGATTACCTCCAGCCTTCTTCAAGCACCTACGCACCCCACCTTCCCCATGGTAACCTAATTAACATCTGCCAGGCTTCCCTCCAGATCCCAAACTTGAACGGGGTTCTAACATCTAAGCTTATGGAGTTCAGGAATGGACCCCTGGGAAGTCAGCTACCACTCTTCCTTGGAGCACCTTGGAAGTCTGTCACTGGGGAATGACCTCGGGATTCTTAAGGCAGGATAAAAATAGCAAACACTGAGCAGAAAGAAAAAAAAAAAAAACCTGTGAAGAAAACTATCCATTTGAAAAAGAAAAGATACAAATAACAGTAATGAGCCTGGTCCAAAGCAGGTGTACTTGGCCAGGAATTAAGGATTTATTTTTCTTGGAGGTAGTGGCTGATGTTTAGCATTCCATTTACACGTTACATCTCCAAAGGGCTTTGCTTAGATGTTCTCCAGCTATGGTAATACACTAGAGATTTTGCTGAGTTTTAGGTCAGAGCCATTCCTTTTCTGAAGGTAAATATGTAAGACTGTTGTATGTGCTTTGTAGCCTAAACATTGAACTTAGAGAAGCAATGCCTGGTTTACGCTTAGAAAAACTAACAGCTCTCCCAAGTAAGCTGTAAAAACAGAAGCTGCATTTAGCCAGAGATCACTGCCTGAGACTTCTGTGTATGATCCCACTTCCCCCATACTCACTCACCCACATACCAATCCAAGAAAAATTAATAAGCTTTGAAGATGTGTTGTTTTTCTGTTTTCCAGTGAAGGAAATATTTTATTTTATTCACCTGGATTCTGATTACTGAGTGAAGCAGAATTCAGAAACCTACTGAAGCTGGTATGCAGGACCTTCTTAGCCCATCCAAACTCTGTCTAAAATTTGTGGGACGTTTCTCATGAAAGAGTCCTGGATCCACAACTGAACTGCAGCCCTTCCAAACTTCGTCAGTAGGAGGGTTTAATCAATTTCTGGTCTTCACTTGAGCAGACATACCTATATCTGAGCAGACAAATCACTGAAACCCCTCTGTGATTTGGTCTTTTCACAGACTATATTGTCTGTCTTAATTAAACTTTAGCATCCCACTAAGCTTTCTTGAACATGCGAGGTAACATTTAAGTCTTTAATATTTGAAGCATACACCGTAAGCCCAGCATGCTCGCTTCATTTCAGATGGACTTCAACTCCCAGGAAAAAAGTTTTAGGGAATTTAAATCAAATAATTTTTGAAGAGAGCAACTAAAGCTTCCTTGATGTAATGATGTCTTGAGTTTTCAGGATTTTAGAAAATGTCTAAGTATACTTCTCTAAATGAGTTATAAGTGGTCCTAACTGTCCATGAGAAGGGCAGAGGAGGAAGGAGAAAGTGTCTAAGTGAAATCAAGAGTCTTGCTTTCTCATCTCAGTTCTCCCCAAGTTCAGGTGCTGAGGATGGATTGACCTCTCAGAAGCCCAGACTTCATTTTCTTCCTCTTCCTCATCTCCCCTCTCCTTCCTGGGTGCCTCCTAGATCCAAACCACAACCCGTGTTTGCCTGAGGTACACATAGCCAGGGTGATGATCGGGGTCTCTGAGAGAGGCATGCCCAGACACCCAATGCCTACAAGTCCAGCTGGTAAATTCAGGCGGGCTCCGACGATACTCTCAGGAGCCCAGGAAAGGCACAGGCAGACTCTTGGGGAGGCATCTTCCCTCTCTCGCCTAGGGGGAGGAATGGACAATGTGTTCTGCTACCCCAGTTGGGTTCAGCAGGACCTAAAGGGTAGGAGGTTCAAGACTTCTCATCTCCTCTCCCCTTGAACCACCTTCCCCCAGAAGGTCCTTAATGTGAGCTTGATGCTGTCTCTGGATCTCCTTCAGATGGTGCTTTTCCTTTGTCATCCATCACTGACTGAGTGAAGAGTGGCTCCGCCAGTCAAGGAAATTAGGAAATTCCCAGCAGGGTCCTGGTGGACACTGAGACTCCGCCCCCCGGCGGTCCAGTTCCCATGGGAGAGCTCCCTCCTCCTCCTAGACTGTAGCTTGGAGGAACTGCAACAATGCAGAGAAGGAATGGTGACAACATACAAAAGATCTAGAAGGCGAAGCACAGGAGGCACACCTGGTCAGCAGCACCTGCCACTACATGTCCCAGCATCCAGCACCACCCAGGCTCCCAGAATTCTGTGAAGGCTCTTTTTGTTACCACTTATTGCATACTCAATCTACACTCAACTGGTATGAGGTGGGTACTCCCACGCCCATTTTACAGTTGGGAAAACTGAGGCTCAGGGAGAGCTAGTCCCCTGCAGTATCTGGATTGGAATCTAGGTCTGATTCCAAGCTGGAATTGCATTGAACATGTCCAACTGCACTGTCGATTGCAAGGAATACGCCCCAATGGAGTTTGTCTAATGAGAAAAAGTCTCAGAGATCTTCAGCCTCAGAAACGAGTGGCCTGAGCCTGCCAGCCCTAGGGAGAGGAGTGTGCAGAGTGCTGAGCCTTCGCCTCCCTGAGGAGGCTTTGCCTGGGCTTGGAAATTGGGAGGACAGGTTGGTCTTTCTCTTCTGCTGCTGCTGTCTTTGGAGATGACAGGCAGTGAAACAGAGGAAAGCTTTTGCCCTAAATTTACCATAAAACATACACCACAAACCTGGATATTCAGCAAAAAGGAAGGAAATGTTTGCGGTATCAATTATCCCAGAGCCTTCCTCCCCTCCGGGAAAGTCGCTTCACCACTTCTGGAGCTGAGCCACCCACCACCACAATCACCATAGCGGTTTCCTTCTTAGGTTCACACAGGTTCCTCATTTCTCTGGGTGAGGTCTTCAGGGCTGACTCTCATGTCAGCCACTACTCCAGACTTTGTTCCTACAACTGACGATTGCCAGAATCCGGCATCGGGTCCAAGCTCCTCACTTGGGAAAAGAGGAAACGGCGGCATAGAGGGCCTGGCTGGGTTCCCTAACATATTAGAAGTTGGCAGCACTGCTGCCAATGTCAGAACCATGCTGCCCCACCCTAATCTTAACACCGGGTCCGCATCTCCACACAGCTTCTGTAGTCTTCACTTCCTCTCTCTCTCTGTCATCTCTTGGGATGGTGGTTTATTCCCATCCAGCACCTGCAGGAATTTGTGAAGCTCCTGCTCCAGTGTAAACTGACCTTTAACCCCAGCACCGGGATTTATTTATTGAAACCACTTTTCTTGGCGGGGGTGTAGGGGGAGGGTCATGAGGAGGTCAGTGGAGATCAGCAATTCACAATGGAAGGTATTTTGGCGGGAGGCGGCCAGTGGCGCGAGAAGAGTGGGATCCACGCCACCAACTGCATTCTCGAAAGCATTTGAAAGAAAACAAATCTACACCAGATCTGCTAAAACTCGAAACCTGAGTCTCTAAGGTGGGTGAGGCTTGATCCAAGTTCCGACCACCTCCCCCTGACCGAGGTGACAGAGGTCTGGGTAAGCTGTAGCTTGGAGAAGAGGACCTGAAAGCAGGAAGGTTGGGGTGCAGATCCTCCGCCGCATCGGAGCCACGGCTGAACCCCACATCCACCCGGTGGGAGAGTGGGGGTGGGAGAAACATCGAGGACACCAGATGCGGCCGGAGGACCGCACAGCCTTGTGGCTTCTCGACTGATAGCAGCCCAGAAGAGGAGGTAGGCATGTTTACTCTTGTAACGTCTCTCCCAACTCCTGCATTTTATTTCGGGGCAATTAAAATTTAAGGATGAAAAAATGACAGAAGGGGTCTCCAGTTATTACATTTCCACAACACTGCAGATTCTGAGATTGGTGATCCTTTAAGGAAATCGTTACATTACACATGGAAAGTGTGTAGAATAAAATACTTTGTATCTTAGGTAGAATAAAACACTCTATATCTTATGATACAAGACAGAGAGGCAATTAAGGTCAATGCCTGGTAGTTTCAAGTGCGCTGTCTCCGCCGCGGCCAGCGAAGAGGCAGGCACCGAGGAAGATCACCTCTGTGACGCTCGGTGCGAAAACCCGCCCCGCAGGCGCGCAGAGCCCCAGGCGCCCCCCACAGCAGGGGCCGGAACGAACACTCAGCGCGCTCTAAGCCGGGCGCGCAGGCTCGGACTAATAAAGAGCTCTAGTGCAAGGCTTTTCCTTCTCACAACGTGGGCTCGGCTTTATTTGTTTGCCAATTTAAACATATTATTTAAACACCGATGTTTCCTTTCCAGCTCCTGGTGAAAAGTGTTGCCTGACGGAAAATTCATGGGGTTCTTCAACTTCTAGTCAATATCTGCTATTGACAGGTGTGTCTGTTGCATTTTCACAGCGAGGAAAAGTGAAATATTTGACTTTGGGTCACACGATGACTGTCCTATATGGGCAAAGCGAGGAACTGATTCCGCCCATGTCCAGGTGCCCAGGAAAGGGAGCATTTATTTGTTATGCCACCCGATAATACTGGTTAAAATGAGGCGTGGTTGACAGGGGAAGAGCCAGACCCAACGGGTTTGGAAGCTCAATGTTCTCAGATGTCTGAGACCC